TTTTGCCTGCCAGTTGGTTTAAGAATTCCGGCATCTTTTACGCATAAAATTAGTTAGATTCCGTGCACTTTTATAAAGTTTAAAATGAAGTTGTATTATTTATACTTGTAATTCAATTTTACGACTAAAGCTTATTTTTAGGAAAAAGATAGAAAAATGATACTTGAGTATTAAAATCTCATTTGGTCACCTAAATAATGAAAATTCTTCTTTGAGCACACATGACCAAATTAAGACTATGAAGTTTGCTAAAAAGATCAGATTGCTCTTTACTTTTTTCAATTGAAAAAAAAACTATCAAGCACCTTTAATAGTCAGCCAATCATCGAAGCTCGGTCTTGATGGCGGCCATCGGAGTTTCAATGACTTGCAGCTATTTTTTCTTGAATTTTTTTAAGTTCAGTAACATGGTTAACAAGTATTTTTAAAGCTATTAACAAGTTTGATGTAGTAATTAACAACTGGTTTTTCAAAAATTCAAAAAGTGATATTTTTACAACTTCTATAATGTGGCTAACAAGTTATGTAACTATATTATCGATTTTCACAACGCCATTAATCATGTGATCTAAGAGCTTTTTACACTTTGAGAGATTAGTCATAGCATCATAAATAGGCAATTTTTCATGTCTTGTAAAACGCGGTTAACAAGTTCTTTAATGCTATTAACAAGTTTAGCATAACAATTAACAACAAAATTTTTAGTAAATTCAAAAAGTAGTATTTTTACAATTTTAGTAACGTGGTTAACAAATTATGTAACGATATTAACAACTTTCATAACGTCATTGACAAAACTTCCTTATAAAGGTTGATGTTCTTAATATTAGCTCCTTTTAAAGATTGTACAACAAAATTTTCCCATTTATTAAGCAAACACTGTGATTATAAGAGTTGTTAATATCATTCCATGACTCGCTATAAGAGTTGTTAATGACGTTATGCAAGTTATTAATATAGTTACATGACCTATTAATCAAATTACTGAAGTTGTAAAAATGTTACTTTTTAAATTTTTTGAAAAATCTGTTATTAATTACTATACTGAACTTGCAAATAGTTTTTAAAAACTTGTTGTTCGTGTTACTAGACTTGAAAAAATTCCCAAAAAATAGTTGCCACCCAAAGGCAATCGGTTGGCCATTGAAGCTCCAGTGACTAGCAGTCCACCTGAACTTCCACAGTCGCCACAAGCACTAGAACTCTGGTGACCGGCTGGTTAGTAAGGCTGCTTGATGGTTTTTGAAAAAAAATAAAGGGCAATATGGTCTTTTCAACAAACTTAAAAATCCCAATTTGGTCGTGTGCTCAAAAAGAAATTTTCATTATTTAAGTGACCAAATGGGGATTTCAATATTCAAGTGTCATTTTTATGTCATTTTTCCTTTATTTTTTCCCCTCACTCTAAGTATTAAGAAATGAGTAATACCTTTCTAACCGTAACCTTGTTTAATGGTAAGGGCGATATTTGTGTTCCAACACTTCTAGGATGACATTGAACTAAATTTTTTTTGGGAAAATTAATCTTACTGTTTTAACTTTTAACTTACTTATAATTTAATCCCTTAATTGTGATTTGGTACAATTTAATCCCTAAACTTTTAACTCGCGCGCTATGACCCAGTCTCTCTCTCTGTTTTTTTTTTTTGGCTCACTCTTTATATTATTATTCTTCGTTGAGTTATCAGTCATTGATATGGCCAAAATAGCTTTCAAGTTAGCATCACTTATAATTTCTTTTATATAAAATTTAAAGAAAACAAGCAAGGATAGGAGGGATGGATGCTGTAAAGACGAAAAGAAGAGGCGACTACACCATATGCTTTACAGGCCCTGCTTCAGAGCACCACCACGGTCAAAGTCACCTCTTAACATAGAGTGAAGATTATAATAGAGAGGCTGAGTTGTAGACAAGTTAAAAATTTAAAAAGTGAATCACACTATGTCATAATTGAGGCATTGAGTTATAAGTAAGTTAAAAGTTAGAGGGTAAAATATTAAATTTTCCAAATTTTTTTAAAATACTCACAGCTCATTCACAAAGACTTTTTAAAATAAAAATAACCCTTAACCCGTAATTTATTCTATAAACTTTATATTATATATTGATATAATAATATTGAATAAAGAAAATTTTCTAAATGAAATTGATTGTATTGTTACCAAAAAATTTTTATTCATAATATGTTGACGAACATTATTAATTTTTTTGAACATTAAATTGGACGTGTCTTCTTAAATAAAGTTTCGATTTTGAATATCCATAGAATTAACAATAATTGTATTCCAATTTGAAGAAATAAAATTATCAAACTCATTGAATCATTCTTAGCCCATCCGAATAAATTCTAATAATTTAGGTCACAAACCAATTCATGCCAAGCTTTTGTGGGACTGAAAGAAAAAGCAAGATTTTTACAATAGATTTCTTATGGACAACATTCATAATACAATTGTCACGGAAAAAAAAACATTTATAATACAATTTGCAAGTTATATAGATTTATTTTTTTTTTTTATAAGAAGCTATATAGATGTTATCGGATCTGGCTTCTCTCCTTTACGCCTTCCCATCTGCTGCCCTCCTTTGCCTCAAAATACACTGTTTTGGTGTAGAGATGGTGGGGTGGCATTAAATAAACATCTAGCAACTTAAAATATTTTTCTAGTACCAGTTATTATCTTGAAATATTTTTTTCAGCACTATCTGTTCTAATATAATTTTTGGTCCAATCAGAGCCTAAAAAATTTTTCCCGTAAAACCTAGTATCTAGCTTTCATCACATTAAAGTGTTTTTTTACTACCACCCAGTATGCTGAAATAATTTTTGGTCTGGTCAGAGCCCTAAAATATTTTTTTTCGTAACACCCAATATCTGGCTTCTAACATATTGAAGTATTTTTTTCAGTAGCACCTAATATCCAAAACTAATTTTTAGTGCATTGAATACCTAAAATATTGCCCCAAAAATTATTTCAAGAAATCAAGTGCCACTTAAAAAATATTTTAGCATACTGAATATACTAAAACTTAATCTAGAATATTGGAAGCTACTAAAAAAATACTTCAGTACACTGGAAGTTAGATATTGGGTGTACAAAAAAATATTTTAGGACTCTAACTAGCTCAAAAATTATTTTAGAATACTGGGTGGTGCTGAAAAGATATTTTAGGATACAATGTGCTACTAAAAATATTTCAGTGTGTTAGAAGTCAGATACTGGGTGTTATAGAAAAAAAACATTTTAGGGCTCTGATTGGACCAAAATTATATTAGAATAGATAGTACTAAAAAAATTTCAAAATAATAAGTGGTACTTAAAAAAAAAAAAAAAAGGTGCCAACCAACGATCTCCACATCAAAACAGCGCAGTTTGAGGCAAAGGAGGGCCGTGGATGCAAAGGGGCGAAGGAGAGAGGCCGGGCCTGATGTTAACATCGCTATTGCGTGCTGGATCATGCACCAGACAAATTGGAAGTACAGAATTTCAAACCACAAACAAGTTAAAAAGTAAAAAATTCTTGAACCCAACCCGACAACAGCCCTACATTTTTTAGACATTAACAGCCCGAAATATTTTTGAAAGTTCATCCATCAACCAAAAAAATTTAATGGTATAATTTTATCTCTCAAATACTGTCCTGATTTTTAATATAATGCCTAATTGATTAATTTGAAAAAAAAATTAAAAAAACTGAAAAATTACTTTATTGTAATATATGTAACATGATCTCTTTGAAATATTTATGCATAATTAGATTATACTACCTTCAATCCTAAATATAAGACCTAGTCTGTAGTGTAATTTTACACATACTATTAAAAAACAAAACAAAAATTGAAATTTCAACAAAAAAGAGTTAGAAAACATTATTTCGCCCCCTATATAATTAGCCCAGGTTCTTTTGCAAGTAGTGGCAAACTTCTAAGCTACCCACTTCATTTCTGATACCTCCTCCTCTCTTTCCTACAAACTCCAAAAGATGAAAATCACATCGCTGATGATGCTCTCTTTGTATGTGTTTGTTTAGCTCATCACTGTTAGCCACTCAGCAAAGGTCGTTGCAGACGGTGGCGATAATTCTGGTATGATGGCTTGCCTTCCACTTTCTAATTTTTCTCCTCCAACGAAGTGCTATTCAAAATAGTTAGGGGATACTTCTGGTCTTTATTGTAAGACGCTTTCAAGTAAATCATTTATATTAAGAAAACTTAGTTATATGATTCAAGTTGTTCAAAAGCAACCCAATATTTCATTTATATATACCTCTATTAATTAAAAGAATATTGGAAACATCATTTTCACAATTTACTAGGGCTTGTTATATATATATATATACATATTTATTAAAAAGGCTGAGAGATAATAATATCCAATTAGCAGAAAATAGGAAAATTTTGACTTTTGATCCCTAAACTTCTCCTCAATTATCGATTCAATCCTTAAATTTTTACTGTAACTTGGAACAACTTAGTTTCCTTATTTTCTTGACTCGAAACAATTTAGTTCCTATAATTTCTTGACTAACTGAATTACGAGGACTGAATCACGGAGACGCGAAAAACCCTCTGCTAGGGTTTTTCCTCTTCGTCGACGGTGTGGCACGACAGCTACCTCCCGAGAGAGGCTCGGCCGAGGAGCTTTTATAAGTCTCCCTTCTCTCTTTTGTGAGAGATCTCCGATGCGAGGAGTGGTGCGATGGAGGCGTCTTTTCCCTGGCGTGAACTAGGTTCGAGCACGCCTCTCGTATGGGTAGGTGTGTTGGTTTGTGCGCGTGTCGGTTGAGAGGACGGAAGCGGCGTTTGGGAAGCAGGGACGATATCTGAGAAGAAACCGGTGAGGTTTGGGCTTCAAGGAAAATATGAAGAGAGGGGTGCTATTTTCTTTGAGGTTGATGAAGATCTACGATGGGCGCCCCCAGGATTCGTGAGGACGAATAAGGCTTTGAAGGTGGGGCCTCCAAAATCTGTGCTAGAGATGAGGGAGGAACGGGGGAAGTGGTGTAGGGTAGTTCCAGTAATGAGGACTCAAGAAACTTTGGATATTGTGTTGATGATAGAAGAACAGGGGAGACCGAGACATTGGCATTCAGATTTACTGATCTCTTCATGGTATGATCTCTCCAATTCTCACTCTCTTATTGCCATGAATATGAAATGGTCAGTTATGGATCTGGATTAGTGGCTTTGGTCAATTATGTTCAATCTTCTTGATTCTATGGCTGATTTGAAGGGGATTCGATTTACAGGGTTTAATTGCAGGAAACTTCAGAATATGATTCTGGTTATGGATGCTCTCTTTTCCCCTGCCTACATATGCATGAGCTTGTGGTCTTTTTTGAATTGCTTGAGGTATTGTCTGGGCTATAATGGGGTGTATCTGGTTAATTTTGGTTAAAAAAAAAATTAAAGATGACTTGAGGTGGGTTCCCCCTTGGAATGAGCAGCTGATCGTGTGCTTGGTGAAAACGATTCTCATGGTTGTGAGTACGTCTAACTGTTTTCCATTGGTGCAAGTTGTTCTGATTATGTCAATCTAGTTTTTAGAGATTTGCTTGACTCTAATGGACTTTGGCCATCTTGGCGAAGCTGTAAAGTGTTCAATGTTGCAGTGGATTCCAAGAGATGTTTATCTAGCTGTGGAATGGGTGTTCTTCTCAGCTTTTAGAGGGATGTGATCGAAAGACTGGGTGTCAAAACCCCCTTCTCTCTATACTATTTTCCTAGTATTCATTATTGAATTGGCTAGGAGTTTTTGTCTCCTTTTCTTTTGTTTTTTCTCTGGTTTATTCCTGGCTTCATTTTCGCTTCCTTTGACATGCCCAGTTTGGTTAAGTGAGGAAGATGCTGATGTTTGGTGCCTGTTGAAGCAAGTGGTTTCAGGATTGCTGAAAAGGGTTCCTGGAGGGACTAACAAGGTGGCTATTTTGCTGGCTAGCTGTCTTTACTGGAGTTTGAGTTTTGGTGTTAGGGATTCATTCCCCCCACCCTCGTTTTACTTTGTTTCTCTTGTCGATGTTACTGGTATAGGTTAGATTGTTTCCGTTTGTGTTCGTCTTTTTGCTGGTTTTGTTTTGTTTATTCCTGAACCGGTGTGTTAAGTTTCAGTTTCTTTGAAGTAATATAGTTTTTTTTTTCGGCCAAAAAAATTTGCAAGGACCGAATTATAATGAATTAAAGCCTAAGAGTTTAATCGATAATTGAAAAAATTGTAAATATTATATATGTGGATTTTGAAACTTGATCTCATTTTAGTCTTACTCCTTAAAATTTAAAACTAATTATTTTGGTCATTGAAACCTCGTCTTAGATACAACCGAAGGCTTCATTCTGGGGACCAAGAGTATTTAGGCGGACCACAATGCCTAAATAGTTTCAAATTTCAAGGATTAAAAACCAATTGAAGAAAACTTTGAGCAACTAATTAAAGGTGATATTAACCCCTCAAAGACTAAGATTATACTGCCTCTGATTTTTTTTATAAGATCCTATTAACTAAATATGTAGTTTAAAAAAATAGTTAAAATTAGTTAAAAATAATAAATATATAAAAATTAAACCTTTTTCTTCAAATATATCCTCATTTAATGAGGGAGCAAATAAGAAAGAGAAATAGTAATTAGAAGATAAAAGATGAAAGAGAATAGAAAATTAATTAGGGACAAAATTGTTAAAAACATATTTAATGGTCAAACAAGCATTAATAAGATCTTATAACAATGATCAAGCCAATTCAAATTTTGGAATCCAGAGGGTGTATTTTCTCTTCAAAGTATTATAACACAACATATATTATACTCTCTCCCCTAAATATAAGTTATATTTTGAAGGCTTTTATTTTGTCTTAAATATAAAATCTCTGTTTTTTTTTTAAATCTTTCTCATAACACCCCTATTTATTATAACATTACTAATTTATCTCTAGTGGCAATGATGCTTCTGGGAAAAAGAAAAAGGTCACAAATTTTCTACAGATTAATGACAAATGATTACCTACTTTTACATTTCATGAACTCATATGTTACTACAATCTTTGATTTTTTAAATTTGCAATCATTTTTGTTTTGGTCTCTCAGTAATCAAATGGTTCAGGTTTCTATTATTCGGTCCTAAATATAAGACCCCTTTCATAGTGTAAATGGCACTATGAAAAGGGTATTATATTTAGGACCGAAAGAGCATTATAAGAACTGATGTTTTAGACGAAAAGAAGTTTGGGAGATCAACACCTATGATTTGAAATTTAAGGTATTAAAACTAAAATGAAGGTAAATTTGAGGGGGGAAAAATCATATTAATCCTAATTAATAACTAAGGACGAGAGGTTGCGTGTATATGTGTGAATGGGTTCATCGGAGCAGGCTTCATAAGCATAGATTGCGGAGCAAGCGAAGGTTATTTGGATGAAGTGACAGGGATTTGGTACCAGACAGATGAGGGCTTCATTGGAAGCGGAACAAATCACGGACTAGCCCCCAACATTAACTTCAACAATTATGCTCCAACCATAAACCGCAAACTAATGACTGTGAGAAGTTTTGTGGAGGGAGAAAGAAACTGTTACACTCTAAAACCAAAACACGAGAATAATCAGAGGTATTTGATCAGAGCCATATTTGCATATGGCAGTTATGACTTGAAAAACCAAGCTCCAGTGTTCGACCTTTACCTGGGGGTCAATTATTGGAGCACGGTTCGAGCATTTCCTAATGGTCCCCAAATCTTTCCAACTGAGATAATAATGCAGCAGGATGGCACTAGAGAGATGGTCCCAGTGTGTTTGGTGAACACAGAACAAGGGACACCTTTCACCAACGCTTTGGAATCGAGGCAATTGAACAACTCCCTCTATCCAGCTCCGCTTCCCCCTATTATGGATTTCACTTTTCCTGTAAGAATGGACTTGGGCTCTAGGCTCATGCCCACTTATACGAGGTATTCTCTTCCTGACTTTGCCCTCACTTTCCCTTTGTCTTCCCCATTTTTCGTCTTGATTCTCATGCTAATAACTCAAGATTTCGTAATTAGTCTATTGCTATTTTAAAAACTCCAACTTCTTGTGTGTGTGTGTATTGCTGTGGCGCTACATCTCAGTGATTGAAGAACCGAACAGGACTAGATGGTTAGACCGTTTAATCCAGACTTGCTAACGGCCTAATCTGAAACAAAAAACTGTTTTCATGCTTGAGTTGGATTAGATTAGAGCTGAGCCGCTATTGAGCCGGGAGTTGAAATAAAACCGAGAACAAGAACAATTTTTAGAAAACCAGATGATTTTTTGGCATAATGGAAATGTCACATCCCAAAAATTTTCATTTGGGTATAGGGAATAAAAAATTGGGATGAGGGTCAATGTAGGAACTAGATGGGGAGACGAAACAACTTTTGATGTGAAACCCGAAAAGGTCCGGACTGGTATTTTCATAATGATCGGTTTAAGAAGGGCAAAACGGAAAAATATGAGAAAAATTCTAAAACAATTCCTAAAAAATGGGAAAGATATAGATTAGAGGTTTTGGAAACTTTTTTGAGGCCCGAAAGGTAGAATTTCGGTGAAAATGATTTATTACGGAATTTCCCGTAAATGGAGGTTTTTTGGGAAAATATTAGAAAATCAGAGGAAAATAATTCTTTTAATTAGTTAGAGGCCTCAATAAATTTGAAACAATAATGGATAATTCATATAAATATTTATTTGAATTTATAAAATTTGTTTTAGGCCTTGAAAGCTCAGAAATTAATTTTAAGGAATTTATTTTCCCTCAGAACTACCAATAGAGGCCTAATCGGAGAAAATTCAAAATAAATAACTAGAGGTGGCAAAACATTCTGAAAATTTTCAAATCATATTTTCATATTAAAAGGTAAATTATCATGGAGATAAATAAATTTTTGGAGGTCTGAAAAAATTATGGAATATTACTAGTGAATAGTAACCGATAAAGTTTTAAATTGGTTTGGGATAGTGATCTGATTTGTGGGCCAGCATTTTGGACCAGCCCAAACAACTTGTGGGACCCACATTATGCCCAATAATAGCCCAATCTCGTGCAGCTTCTAGGTCCCTCAAATTTTAATTAAAAATTAATACAAATTAGGGGATAATTGTGTGGAAAAATCTAGAAAATGGCCACTTGGGATAATCTGATCCTTCCAGTATTTGATGGCTGCCACCTACACCCTTGAGGTGTCCTAAATTTTGGCCAATTGAGGAAGGAAGAGGGCAGACCAATTTTTCTATAAATACCCCTAGAAAATACCAAGAAAATGTTGGAAAATTGGGAAAAATAAGGGGAGACTCTGCCACTGTTCATCCGGCCCCTTTGTTCAAAATTTTTGAGGAGTTTTAGACAAGAAATTATCTAAAAAATACCAAGAAAACATTAAGGTATGTCTAAGCATCATTATCCCTAAGTATTACATTGATTAGATTAGGATTTTTGCTTGGAAAAATGCTGAAAATTTTGGTTGGGATGTGTGATGCTTAGGAAAGGATATAAACCTTAATAATCAAGTGGAACAAAAAAGATTAAGTGGTGTATGAATTGATTTTTGGAAGAAAACCAAGTTAGGATTTTGGTTCTTCATTTCGGCCAGCACTGTTCATAGGGAAGGAGTTTGTTTTTCATTGATTTGATTATTCCAATGGCTTTAAAACATGTTTTTATATAGGGATATGTTGTTGGAAATTGTTTAAAATTGTTGGAATCAAAAATGAAAATTTTCGAAACATATAGCTCCCTATTCGGCCCAGTGAAGATTATAAGGAAGGAATGTGAATTTCAAAAATCTGATTACACCATTAGATTTCTTATGAAAAATTATGTAGGATTGAGTTATGAGATGATTGATTCTAAAGAAGGAATCATTTTGTTAATAATCAAAGAAAAAGGGGGAAATTGTTAGGTTAATGTTAAAGTGTTGGAACCAAGTTGTTTTGTGATTAATATGGCTTATGTTTATGCTTGGTTTAACAGGCATTGAGAGGAGGAACTAAGGAGAAGCATTGCTCTTTGGAGTAATTATTTGGACAAGCTTTTAAAAACAAAAAAAGTAGTTTTGAATTATAATTTGATTGTTTATCTTGTTTATTTGTTGTGATTTGTTGATGCTTGGATTGGAGGAACTCTGTGGTGACTTTGATTGTTTGATTGACATTAGTTATACTTTGGCCAAATGTTTTGTGATATGTTAATGTGAATAATATAATGTTCCTCTCCTTGCATGATATTGATCACAATTAATCTTGCATTGATTTACATGATAATTATAATTCATATACTACTGAGATTTCTTTGAAATCTCACTCCTACTATGTCATTTTATGCACTAATTAGGGAGTGCACCAAGCATGGAGCAAGGGAAAGAATTGGCCTTGGAATGAAATGACTTTATGAATATTATGTTATGTTAGAAACTTTTATCAAGTGTATTAAACTTTATATTGATTTTATGATAAGTTATGGATAGTATTTTGATATAAATTATATTGTTATTCCATTTCCAATGTTAGAATTATGCTTGATGTATTGTCGAAAGAATGTGAAAGAACAAAAAAGAGGAAATAAACTAAGAAAGTGGTAATTAGGGGATAGAAATTTTCTAAAAAGTGTCAAATTTGTGACACAAAATAATGAGGAATTGTTGGATTTTGAATCTGAGATTTTACACACTAAAAGATCTTACTTTTAGCTTTAAAACAAGTGGTAATTCATTAAATTTAAAGTTGTGTACTAAGAGTTATGCCCTTCCAAAGTTGGACAAAAATACCGGAAATTCAAAAATTTACTAAATAAACAGTGCACTTTGATGAATTTTCTGGAATTATTCTGGGTGAGATTGGACCTAATGATTATTTTTTCTCCATACAACTCTTAGCAATATTCGTGTAAAAATTAAAATCACATTATTTTTATTTTTCTAAATTTAGTTATGAATTTTCAAATTTGACCCATTTTTGGATGAACAGTATACGAACAAAATGAATAGTAAATTCTGAAATTTAAAATTTTTCATCCGAAAATATTATGAAATGACTTATATTGGTTTCAATTAATGTATAATGAGATATAAAGAAAGGTGTGACAGGAAAATGATGAAAAAAGTTTAATAAAAACCTATAAAAGAACAATTGACCCTCTCTCTCAAA